CCCTGACTTATATTTTACACATCCAAGAACCTTCCCTGACTTATACAGCATCTTCCAGGTAATCCCTTCTAGGAGCTCCTATTCCTATTGTCACCATTATTAATATCTTATTATCAGAACCTGGTGCAATGATATGTCTCTAATATCTATCTTAAGTCTAGCCTGGAACCCCACCATGTTCATTTGGTCCTCAGCTAACAATTACAACTGATTTAGTCAGTTTGGATGGCACAGACAGCGAGAGAAAGAGTAACTGTATAGTGGAGAAGCCTGACAAGCACTGTGATCCGACATAAACCAGAGACCATTGATCTGATGGGATGAAAACTGCATTGGTTTGTGGTCTTCCTCTCTAAACCTATAACACCATTAGGATCAGAAGTAAATATCATGAAAATTAGCATGGAGGAACTCTCTACAGAACATAGTACTCGGTAAATACTCCTCAAAACTGTTAAGATCTTCAGGACAAGGAAAGTCTGAGAAACAAGTATCAGGTCAATAATATTCCTCAGTTATTGCAGGCTGATCAGGTCCACAATCTCCCGAATGAGTGTATGGCAAAGGCTAAATAAAAAGAGGTGAATGGAATTATTTCAGGGCTCCAGGAGGATCAGAACCCTCAGACAGAATTCAAGATTCTCTTAGAGCTAAGACCAAGACTTTCTCTGGGTGGCCCATATATTTTGATTTCAGAAGAAGGGAGGAGAGTTCTTAAGAAGGGGGGAATCACTCAAGGACTTCTCCAAGTAAGGTACTAAATTACTCTACCCAGGGCTGAGATGCCTGAGGCTATAGTCTTTATGTAGTTGAGATCAGACCCAGGCGTCCTTGGCTGTGATCTTGTCTTATCCTTTGAGACTTTCTGGCTTCATCACCACTACAAGTTTTAGTAGGGATTAGTGACTCACAGAGGTTCACTTACTATGAGCCAACCATTTCCAGACAAGGATCCTAGGCCTTGGACAGATTTACAAGTGAACATGGAAAGCCAATTGGTTCACTGAAGTCCTGCTCAGGTCTGCTTCATCGTGGTCTCTGTCAACCACTACAGCCAAGAGTTGCCTAAAAAGATGTGATGATGAACAGATCCAATGTGATGCCCAGAATGGGATCTTGGCAGCACAACAAAAAGGACACTGGGTAAAAACTAAGGAAATTCAAATTAAGTGTGAACTTTAGTTAATAATAATAATACACTAATTATGGTTCATTAATTATAACAAATATACTATACTAAAGTAAGATTTCATACAGAAAACCAGATGTAAAGACCATGGAAGTTCTCTGTATTATTTTCAACTTTTGTAAAAAGAAAGTTAAAATTTATCCTAAAAGGAAAATTTATTACAAAATTAACACACAGCAACTCTTAATTTGAAGGCTATGCTAAAACAAACTTTGGACCAGATTTTTGTCTGTGGGCAATAATTTAACCCCATTTCCATTCCCTTTCTCTTTCCCTTTCCCTTTCCATTTCAATTCCCTTTCCTCGGTTCTGGGAACAACCGGGTTGAGCACTAATTCTAATCAGACCAGGATTAATGGAACCTGTTACAATGCATGTCAAACATCTCTGCCTGCCCCATCGATTGTAGCATAATAAAATTCTTCCTACCACTGCTCAGAAACATCCCATGATTCACCTCTGATTCCATCAGTCTGTCAGGAGAGAAAATATTTTTAGGAATATCCAAGAAATTTCCCTGCAGGTTCCACTGACCAACACTGAGCCACATGCTCCCCTCTACAAACAAAGGAAGTGGGAAAAGGCGACATCTAGCACCTTCAGTTCTCTGGCACACGAGGAAGAGAATAAAGACAATGGTGGAGTCAGCTACTGGTGTCCACAGAGGTGCTGTGTTTATTGAAAACTGTAATTATTTTGCATGTATCTTTCTTTCCTATCATTTTTTATGTTTGTTCCTATAAATAGACTGTAAAATCCTCGAGTAGGAAAAATTGTGACTTCAACATATTTGTACCTAAAAGTTGTATTGTTTTTGTTTGCTTCTAACTTCACCTACAGCATGATTTGGGAAAGTATCAAATTAGACTCCCAGAAAACCCTCAGTTCTTGGAGAAAATGACAAGCAGACTATACTGTTCAAAAAACAAAAGCAATTACAGCCACAGGAAGGGAAGCAGAAACCAAGCCACTGACTAAGGTATAATCACTAGTTGACAGGGTCAACCCTGGTGATCTGAGGACAGACTGTCCAAGGTTCTTTGTGCTAAGCAGAGACTTCAGCACATATGTCAAAGCAACCAATTCATAACTCTTCAGACCCCTTGGGAGAAACGTGTGCAAGCGTGCCATTTCCTTGCGGGTCGGAAGAGCTTGGAAAACCTCCCCAAGAGCTGGCGATACGGCTACACCATTTCTAGTTGGCAGTGATCCCTTCCCTACATACAGTTCCCTGGCAGGTAAAAGCCTATGTATTAGAACAGGGCTATTTCATTTCCAAATCTCTCGTGAGTCCATCACCAGCTTGAATTGTCCTGAGCAATAGTTTACTCTTGTGTATCAAATGCTGTTTTCATGACAACTTGAGCAAGATGGCGGAGTGTTTGGCACACTTAGAGAATGTGCTCCTTGCTGCTGGAGGAGCATGAGCGTATTCATGATACACTAACTGCAGACCACAGTCACCACCAACAAATAGGCAGATTAACCTACTTTGTGATGTCTGCATCTAAAATAAGAACAACAGCAACAATAGCAACAGTTAACAAGTGCTGAATGCCTAATGTGCACTGGAGGTGGGCCAAGAGATTTCCATGCACTCTGGTGTTTAATTCTCACAATGACCTCCAAGGGAGGTCCTATCATTATCCCCATTTTCCAAATTATGAAGCTTAGGCCCAGAGAGTTACTTGTCCATAGTCATTACCATACAAATGATGAAAGCAAGGTTTTAACCCACTCTGCTACAAATAGCTGCATACAGCAGCTTTTACCTCCCCTCGTCATGCTCCATGAAGTGTAATTTTGGATTTATTTGTTTATTAGGTGAGATCTGCTTCAAAACAAGCTACAAACTCAGGAGTCAAGATCTTTTTGGTGGTTCTTATTGCTCTCATCTGCCTGGAACTGCACAGGTGCTCAGTGAAACGATTATCACTGGATGTCCAATGAATGAGCAAATTTTTCTCAATATGTTCAGGGTCAGTCAGCTCTCAGACTGTCAGAAGGCTGTGCCCCAAACCTGAATTAGCAGGCTCCATTAACTTTCTTTAATGAGACAAGGTGTGACTATTCAGTTTTTCAAACCAGTCCTTTCAGGGGTACCACAGATAATGAATTTAAGAATTTGGGAGACATAATGATTTGAGAGGGTATGATAGAAGTGCTGCCAAGGTAGAATGCACAGAGAAAACACAGGCAACATGGAAATTGCCCTAGGGCACACAAGGGAGTCCATGGGGACACAGCTGCACTCACACCAGCATTCCTGAGTCGCCCCGTCAACCCTCAAAGTGGCTGTGCGCCACGCGACCCACAGAGTCTTCTTTTTTATTATTATGTAATTCTGTCCTGGGGATGGAAACCAGGCCCTTTGCACTGAGCTACATCGCCACCCTTTTCAACTTATTTTTTTTTGATTTTTGAGACAAGGTCTCCTTGAGTCTCTAACTTGCCCAGGCTGAGCTCAAATATGCAATTCTCCTGCCTCAGCCCCCTGGCGTGCTGGGGTTACAGGCATGCTCCACCATTCCTGGCTCCAACAGGGTCTATTATGGGAATATAGGAGTAAACAGCTTTTGTGTGATACTCCTTGCTGGGTGTTCCCATGGCCACTTAACCTAGAGAGTTAATATTTGGTTCTTAATTTACTTCCAAACACTTACACAAACTAAAACTATTAACAGATTGCACTGTATCACTTAATAACCAGGGTGTGGGTGTATTGCTATGGCATTTGTGAGATTAGGGACAGGTGTTCTGAGGGTAGAGAGGGAAGAAAAGGCATCTCCAATTATTCTTTCTGCTTAAACCCACCCCCTTACACCTGATTTTAGGACATGGCTCGGCCTTGCCAAATGTTTCCATGTGGATTTAAAAGTATGGTATTCAAAATGACTCCAGGACTCCTGTGCAGCATTTAGCTACAAAGTGGGATTGAATACAAAGTGGCTCCAAATTGCATTCAGGCAGCTGAGAACCAAGGAGCTGTTTGCTAAAGCAATTTCATTTGACCTCGGATGAAAGCAGCACGTAAGATATCTCTTGAGGCCACAGATGCCTGCACACGATGCCTAGAGGCATCTCTGAATTTCTTGTACCTCAACATCACATGCGCTACATTTCACTGGCAAATTCATATGCACACCTGTAGATGAGAATTCTTATTTTTTCTTTTTCCACCTTTCTTATTGATTAGCAGCACCGACCCACCAACCACCAGGAGGAAGGAGCAGCTCCCAGAGGTGCCGCGAGTAGTTCTGCCAGCAGAAGAGTGGCTGTATTAGTCCCTTTTGCTTTACTATAAGGAAGTACCTGATACAGGCTAACTTTACAAGGAAATGAGGTTTATTTAGTGCATAGTTCTGGAGATTCAAAGCCTAGGATCAGAAAACCTCATTAGTTTGAGTTCAGGGAGTCCCTAATGGTGGACTAGTATCACAAGGGTGAGAGTGTGTGTGAGAGAAACAGATTGCGTTACCAGAAAGGAACGCAGCAAGAAGCCCAGGGATGGGGCTCTGTCTTGTATCAATGTGTTCTCATGAGAACTGTTTCATCTCTTCTGAGGGCAGCTCCTAGTGACCTAAGCATGTCTCATCAAGCCCCACCTCTGAAGGCCCCCATGGCTCCCCACATTGCTGGGGACAGTGATTCCAGTGCATGAGCCTTTAGGGAACAGACTCCAATCGCCTACAAACCACAGCCCATGTATTAGTCAGACTATTAAAAGTGTCACGAACGGTGGGACTGTTTGACGACCAATGTCAACCCCCACTATTTCATGTAATTTTGAAGGAACAAAGAGACAAGCACATCTTTGACTTGCTAACATTTATTCAATTTTCTTTGAAATTCGCAAGAATCAGAAGAAGCACATATCAATCAAATACAGCCACCAAAAAATGTCTTGGATATAAATAAAGATGCACTATAAGAAATACTCACTACTGAAGGAACCAGTATCCCCTACATTTCCTACCTCTTAGCAACAACAGTTCAAATGGAAATTTAATATACTCACCATGTAAAACAGAACCTTGGCTTTTAAAGAGAAAAATATAGATTAAAATCAATCAGAGTTCGCCTCCCTAGGCCCTTTTGTTGTGTACATCTTCAAGGCCAAGTTTGATAGCTGTTACAAAAATGACAACAACAGACTGGGAAAAGAAAGTCTCTGCGAAGTTCAGTGGAACAGTGTGGAAATAAGTTACTTAACCCATGCACAGGATAAGGCAAAGGCTAATTTCATTCAGGTTAAGAGTAATAAATTCAACTAGTTTCTTTTTCACAAAACAGACATTTCAGACTTCTTTTTAAGTAACGGGTATACCGTATTATACATCATACGCTACTTTACATATATTTCCTACTCTATTCAGAAAGCCGGCACTCACGTCAAAAAGAAATTTCTCCTTGAGGAGACTTATTCTGTAATGACCACAGAAATCCAGCTGGGCTTTGTGGTACGATCTACTGTGGGAAGGGCACACACTAATCAAAGCATACAGTTTAGAGAGCTCAAAGTACATTAAAACGTAGTCTATGGGTTTCACAAATTCCATTTTTTAAAATATCTTTTTTCAAACTAAAAGCTGCAGAAAATTAGTTCTTCAATATTCTACAGAAAACTCTTGAGCAGCTAATGTTTTAAATTTCTTAAGCTTTTTAATTTTCTTAAAAATATTTAAATGAATGTAGTATCCCCATCTTTTTGAAAAATAATCCAAAAAAAAAAAGAAAAAGATTACAAATCTTTTGTTTTAATCAGTGTGACCAAGGGTTTGTCATCAGGGCTGTAATCCTCATAGGCGATGGGGGTCACGTCGTACATTGCAGGCCGGGATTTCTTTCCAAACCTGAAATCACAGACAGCAGACTCCTGTTAGATAAATATTGGATTTTGAGTCCTATTAAAGGCAAGTGGTGAGAGTAACTCATTTTCCAGAACCAAATGGAGCTATAAAAATACTCTAAAATATGTTTTCTAGCAAGGACAGAAACTTAAGACATCCTGATATTAATAATGAATGAGTATAAACATTAGTCTTTGGTGTAGGAGGCAAAAAAAAAAAAAGGATTTCACAAACATGGAGCCCGAATTAATGTGACGCTTCCAGGTTAAATCTTGGCAAAGCAGTCAGGCATGACAGCTCTACAATAGGTTTTAGGAAAATGTATATCGATTTGACTTTTTCTTCTGAGGCCCATAAATATTTGGAGAGAAAGGTTTGTTTTGTATCCACCGTAGAGCCTGGAATACATAACAGTGGGCTGCGGTCCTCACCCTGGGGGGACAGGCAGACAGACTCCCAAGCCGAAAGGGCTCTGAGATTGTCTGAGATCCCAGTACAGAAGGGCAGCTGGAGGCAAAGGCCTGAAATACTGAGGTATTTGCCCGCAAGTTCCATGGGCACTGGAACTCTACTTACCTGTGCTGCCTCCTAGCTCCCAGGCACACACAAGCCATTCTTTCTCTGAGCACAAAATGGGCCAATAGATCTATATACATCAAAATCCCCTCCCCAGCAGGACGGATGTCCAGAGCCGGAGGAGTCGAAGTCCAAGTTCAGGACCCCTGGCAAACCAGTCTTAAGATGGCCAATTGTTACAATAAAGCCAATTCAACTCCTTGGTAGTCCCTTTCAGTATAAGACCTCACCTTCCCTAAAGCTGCTGGAATGAAACGTGATTCAAACAATCTTCCCCATCACCTCCCCATCACTCCTCTTTTTCATAGGCTGCATTTTTTATTTTTAAGACCAACAGGTCTCATTAAAAAGGAGTTTGTTTAACACTTCACACTTTACAAAAGGCTATTAGGAAGGAGCTCCTAGCACTTCAAGGAGCTTATTTACCCTGGCTCCTGTCCCTTCTTTCCTCTTTTCTTATTTCTCTTTCTTCTCTTTGGAAAGTCTGCCTTCTTGTGTATGGTGGTGAGAAGTGGGATCAAGCGGAGAACGAGAAAACAGCGCATTCTTCATTTAATCTTTTATTTTTAAACCTTCGTCAAACTTGCATTCTGATTCATTCAAGACTGGCCTTCAAAGGCCACCCCAGATGCATGCCAGGCAGAATGTAGGGCTTTGCCTAAAATTCCACAACTGCTGCTGCAACATTAAGAAGGACGCCAACAAAATCATTTTGAAACTGTGACACCTCACTGGAGATCCGCGATAGCAGCTGAGGGTGGGAGCCCAGCCTGCAGTCTGTTTATCTGAATTAAATGACATCTGCATAGCCTGGGATCAGGAAAGCAACCAGGAAAAGTGCCCACTGCATTCTACAAACTTTCTCCCAACTGTGAAAATGTCAGAGGCTACTTGAAGGGGCAAATACTTTGACAATTCATTTCTTATCAAGTAGTAGCTGGGTATATTGATAATAAAAGTGGTAACTTAACAAAAATGCTCAGCAACCCTCAGAAACCCAGAGAAAAGCTCTCCCCATACCCTAGCCTAGTACCATGGGGTAGTTTCCTAGGGAACTATGATGTAAGGATCAGTGAACCAGACTAATTAGTGGAATAATTAATCGATTGCTTGAGAGGAAAAATGTAAGCAATTTAATAAATCGAATCTATGCTTTTAAAACCCGCTTTTTATGTGATTTCATAGTTGGGGGAAGAATCTGCCTTCCCTAAATCTAGAAAATGAGATGCTTCTGTTTTAAGCTATCCATTAGTAAGCTTACATGTTGCCATGGAGCCGAATATTGACAAGGTAGGTTTGAGGACAGCTGTTCCAGAGCCACTGAGTGATACAAGTCAAGAGCTAAAACCATTCAAGAGCGGCCATCTGCTCGTGTGTGTGGGGGGTGGGGCGGGTAGACTGGAGAACATGGAGCATCATTTGTGTCCACTTTGGTCTACTTGGCCGTGTGTCATGGTACCAGTTGACTCCAGTCAGTGCAGGTCATAAGGGTAAGACTGGCTACAAAGGAAACCTGAGTGAAGACAGAATAACATGGGCAGGACTAGAAAAGGGGATGGACAGGCTTAAAGCTCCAATTCCTACACTTCGCCTTCCTAATTGCTGAGAACTTGTCCATTTTCCTTTCAGTCTCCTCCAAAGTGCAGTGTGTACCGTAAGAAAAATATGCTTTATAGAAAATGAGTTTTTAAACATCCGGCAAACTGAGATAAGCCCTTGCCCGAATCTCCTACATCTCCCACAGTGGCAGGCTTACACTTGGTGGTAAAGGAATGTGCGTTCATGTCTACACTGAAAGCGGCGTAGCTGTACATCTTCTCTGTTTCTCAGAATTGAGGGGATGTTCAGGAATCAAGTTAATGCATAGAACTCAATTTTACATTCTCAGGCACTAAACCAATGCGAGAGGTTGCCTATTTTTTTTTCTTTTGCTAACTTTTTACATAACTGTTCTTTTTTAATAACTCACTTTTTTGTCAAAAAGGTACATTTTACTTGTAAAAGTATAAATTGGAAGCCTGAGAAAATTATGATGTACACTAGTATCTACAAGTCAATTCTAGCCTAATGCTTGTTTTTTAAGTAAGGCTTTATTGGAACATAGCAGAGTCCACTCATGCTGTCTCTGGCTGCTTTTGCACTAGGAAGGTAGTACGGAGTAGTTATGACAGAGACTGGACGGTCCACAAAGTTTAAGCTGTTGTGCACCTGGCCCACACAAGCCCATAAGAATCATCCCTAGTGACTCATCTCTGCAAAGACCAGCTGTGAACATATTGTGCATTATTCGTCATTCTGTCCATCCCTCACCCACGCATCCTTCAAATCAGCTTAGCAAATATCTATTAAGCACCTCAGAATGTATCATATACAGTATTTATTTCCTATCTTTGGCAACACTGGAAAAACTGCACATTAACTGAACTTTTTTCAGTAGACAGTCTATGTGATCTTTTACTCAGCATTCCTGTCGTTAAAACTCTTTCAGGTTAAAAAAAATTAATGGAAAAAAATGGTTACTCCTGTGCTGGGTGGAGCCGCTGGTGGGCTCCACGTGTCTTTTCCTCCTGTTCCCCGCGGAGGCAGCTCACAGCCTGGAATGACCACACTTTGTGACACTTTGCAGATGTCTGTTAAGGAGTTACAAGGCAATCAAATTTTTAAAAGATGGGGATTAACTGACACACAGCCTCTCCCCGCTGGAAAAGCAGCATAAAGGCTCTGATCTGGTGACTCTGTTCCCAGTTTCTCCCTCAGCCCCATAAGAGCACGAAGAATCTCTTCTCAGTCACTCAGCATCTCATTCCAGTGTCTCCTTTTCATCGATTATCTCATGTCATTGTTGTATCAGCCTTGCGCAGTGAGCACTTATCCTCTATCCCATTTTACAGATGAGGAAGTGGAGGTATGGGGATAAAATCCCTAGGCCACACTCCTTGTAGGAGGTGGAGCTTGCTGGCTTACCTTACACGCTTCATGCATGCAAGGAACCCAAAAACTCCTTTCATGCTTACTGCTCCTGACAAGAGCCTGTGTGCCACAGAGTATGGAGGCATTGCCTTTGAATTAGCAAAACTGCTTTGATCCTGGCCTCCTCACTCGCGATCCCTGTGACCCTGGGTAAATTGCATTATCTTATTGAAGGCAAATTCTTTTCGCATACAATAGGGAACCAATGACACATGTGTCCTAAGACTCTTGCTAAACAATTTGTGGCTGAATTAGCACAGCGCCTGACCACAAGACACTCTTGGTGAATATGAATCATCGCAAAAGCACGAAAAGAAGCCCTGACATCAGCAGTATCAACAGCACCACATCTCAGACATCACATATGGGGACAAGGCTCATGTGCTTACTTCTTTAAAGAAATGAAAGATGCTGCAGCCGGTTATAAAGCAGACCCGAGTATACTTTCACGGGTCATAGTACCTGAGAGTCCACAGCTAAACAGTACCACAAAGGATGGCAGGCACACCTGATTTTGAGAAAAGCCCAAATAAGGAGGTTTTGAGCTACCTGTGAGCTACCTGGGGAAAAGTGACGTGTCTTTTCCTCCCTTTCTGTGATCAGCCACCTCCTGCGGTCTAAGTAGCTGAGCACCAAGCTGTGACCTCAGCCTCAGAGCATGGAAGCTCACGGCCGTGCTCCTGATGCTCACTTATGAACTCTGTCCTGCACAGGTGTCAGCAAAGCAGCTTGGGACAGATGGCTCTTGGGACAGGAGGGAGAAGGGTCTCCTCAACCCAGCACTGGCGCCAGCCAATCACTCCCCTCAGAAGCTTCCTCGGTCTCTTGGAATGTCAGAGGTGAGCCACCTGGGATGCATCTGTGTGTCCACGAGACTTCAGTAGTTCTAACCCAATCTTACCACAAGGCCAATGACAGGGACAGAGCCCATGACATGGACTTTGGCTACAGGCCATTACTGAAAAGTAGGGGGCAGGTAACATAAAAAGGGCTGAGTGACTTCCAAGCCTCTAGAGGGTTTCTAGGAAGAGAGCAAAGAAGGCCAACGAGCGAGAGATCCACTTGTAGTCTTCACACAGCCAGCTCTCGAAGTCAGGCCGTCGCTGAATAAGCACTTAGGAGAATAGTCTAATTCCTTGGGGCTCCCAGTGCATCAAAGAATAAAGCTATAGATTCTGCTCCCTCCTGGTGGACTAAGCCTCCCAAGGACAAAGAAAGAGAGAGATGTTAGAAGGCCAAGGATATCTGCCGATTCTCTATTCTCTTTTGCATTCTCTGCCTCTGGTACAGATTTCGGGACACTGCAAATATCCCCCAGGCAAGGCTGAACCCTGGGATGAATCTACCTCTCAAACAGGAAAGACACCCTCTGGCAACACAGAGCTGAGATCAGCCACTCATTTCAGTCCTCAGATTTTAGCGAAGGAGTGTGCCAGGATCCACAGGACACATAGAAATAGAGGGCACAGGAAAGACTCAAAGAAACAGTCAAAGCGGGCCTTACAGGGTTGCTCCAGGGCTTCCAGGAAGTTAGTCCTGAGACGGAGGGGCCGGGTGAGCAGCCATGCAGGGCTGAGCTGCAGGGCACTGAGCTCTCTGGCCCCCTCACTGTAATATAAGTAAACCTGGGTGCAGCTCCCAGCAAGGCGCTGGGGCAGATGCTTCATGCTGCCCCGGCTCTTTCCACCGGCTCTTCTCCCCGCAGCAAGGCTGTGCCTTTTGCTTCTACTGGAGCAACAAGATCACTGTGAGGCTGACACTTCGATTTGGGGGCTCCCTTTAGAGGAGGCAGAGTCTGAATCCCTCAGCTTCTATGCCATTCAGATGGAATTTGTGTCTGCTTGTGTCTTGACCAACACAAATATGATGCTTCAACAAAAACTATGCAGCTAAGAGGTCCACTGAGCCCCATGTAAGACGCCAAGCTCTGACTTTCTGACCTGGATACTTTAGACCCCACCCTCAAAGAACAGAAAACATGGCCTCCTTCAATGAAGAATATCACTGCTGATCTTTGGAATGACTATTCTTTGCAAAAGTCAATAACATGGTAGCTGATATTTAGTGTCATATAATAGATTTGGAGAACAAAATGTATTACCTATTTGTATAAAACTTTAATATGTATCATTTAACGATATCATCATATTCTTTTTGGAGGTAGAGTTGTACTTTTCTACAGACAGGGAAATTGTATTTCTGGAGGACTAAGTGATGCGTGTAAAATATAGAGCCAAGGAAGGGAGTAGGGAGGACTCAATGCCATACATCAGGCACCTGAATTTACGTTCCTCTTTCCTCCAGAAAAGGGCACGGCATTATATAACAGGAAATCTAAACACAGAATGGTGGCTGTTGGTTATTATTTTTATAGCCTCTTCTATCAAAGGGAATCATTTATATTCATCTTGACTTTTAAGAGTAACATTGTTAAAGATATCCCAAAAAAATTCGTGTAAGATGATAAAAGAATCAGATATTTTAGCTGGGCATAGTGGCACAAGCTGCAGCAATCCCAGCACTCTGAGAGGCTGAGTCAGGAGGACCATAAGTCTGAGCCCAGCCTGAGCTCCAAATGACTAGCTCAAAATTAACAACAAAAAATAAAGGAATGGGATGTAGCTTCATACAAAGGCTCTGGGTTCAATCTATAGTATCAAAAAAGAAAAAGAGAAAGAGAGAGAGAAAGAGAGATTTATAACCTCAGATCAACAAAGTAAAAGAATGAATATATTCAATGTAAACAACAATGACAAATCCAGACAGCTAGAAGCAAATTGCAAAGGTTTGTTCCTAAAGCAGCCTGTTGGTCTGCCCTCCAGGACTAGGTCGAACCTAGTGATGCAAATCCTGTTCATAACACAACTCAGGCAGCAAGGTGTGAAAGCAGTGCCTCCCTTCCCTCCCTGGCCCGGAGCTCACCTGGCATGCCGGATGGACGCGATGGCATTGCTGAACTCGCTGTCGATGCTGCGGCAGTTGTAGAACTCCTCATAGGCCGGCCGGGAAGAGCCCTGGTACTCGATGCGGCTGATGCGACAGATGCCCACGATCAGGATGATCAGCATCAGGACGAAGGCGACGCAGAGGGCACCGATGATGATGTAGAGGGAGTGGCGAGGCATGTTGGTGAGGCTCTCCGCCATGTGCCCCGACTTCCACTGCAGGTCTGGGGGGAAACAAGCAAAGGTCTAGTGTCTCCAAAATGTGAAGGTCTTTCCCCACTGCGCATCATTAACTTAACTTCTCAGAGCTGTCCAAAGTGGGAAGAAGTGTTTCCGTGAGTAATGCTAACCAAGTGCTAATATCTGTACTATAGAAGGACCTCTTCTTACAAGTCATAAAGGAAAATCAGGAATATGCCACAGAAAAATGCAAAAAGGATATAAGGGGTTCATCAAAAGATACAAATAGAAAACTGTTCCACCCCATAATTACTTTTTAAAGAACCAATTCCTCTGCCAAAGCAGTACAAATAAACACTGTTTAGATTTGTAACTATTTTTAAAGCAATTCTTCTATCACTTCCAAATATTATTTAAAAATTATGCAAACCCCAGTTGACAAGGCTACAGAAATGGGGGACTGTAACTGGATACATGAACTTTCTGTGAACTCACTAACATAACTTTAATCCAGATATTCCCAGTTTTAAATTTATGCTGGGGAAATAGCCCTACAAATACACACAGTTCTGCACAAGAATACTCGTCTTACTATCACAGTGCTAAGTAATCAACTATCTCATATTCGGGAAAAGGCTCAGAAAGTGAACACAGATACCCGTGTGCTCAACACTTAGAGTTAATAAATGTTATTTTATCATTTTTGCTCTCGATATTTAAATTTGTCTTTAACAAGAGTGTACTACAGATGTAGCTAAAGTTCCCCTACCCTCATAGTCTCTCCTCTTCCTAGGAACATAAAAAACATTTATCAAGATCCAAAAATGGGAACCAACCCCAATATTTAACTCGTTAAACAGCAAAAGCATAAGAGAATGTTACCAAACAGGACCTGCTTGTATAGGACAATGGGCTGGCAATTGTCTGCCTACATGCTGAAAAGTTCAGGATAGAGTGATAATCACCGCAAACAGGTATTATTTTTATTTTACGTTGGACTAAGCTCTGCGAAAGCGTCTCGTTGTATCCCAACCATCCCTCTTTGCAGCCAGAAGCCTTAGAAAACCAACTTCACTTGGGGTGGGGGAGGCCTTTGGAGTTAAGTCTGAGCTGAGATCTTTGTCTCTGCACAGTGATCTAACAGCAATGATCTCCAGATCTCCAGAAGGCAGGATGACAAATGAATTTTAGTTTAGTTCTTTATACGTTTAGCCTTTCCCAGCTTGTTTGCCTAGAATAATGTATTCCTTTCACTACTGAAAGAATAAGCAGGACATGAGTGGTAGGGGCGCTCATGAGATCACTTCCCAGCACAACAGCAGGAAAAGCAGGGCCTTGGGAGCACACTCACCTCGCTTCTAGTCCCACCTGGGACCTTTAACCCACTTCCCTGAACCTCAGTTTCCTCGTGTGTAAGATAAATTACCAATGTATAGCTCATTGGCTTGCTGGGAACATGAGTTAGAAAACAGGCAAAAAAAAAAAAAATAATTGTCCCAAGGTGGATGGTCCCTAAAGAAGAGCCGCTGAGATGCTTCAGGGGGAAGGACAAAGGAGGGTACACTGTCCTCTCAGGCAGATGCTCTAAGCTGAGGATGGCCAAGCACTACCCCATGTCCCTCCTGAGAGCACCAATCTAGTTTAGCAGGAAAAACTAGAAGGTTAGGATGTAGTCTTAAGCACTGGCACCAGACATGTACACGAATGCAACTATCTAGCCAAATGGGAACAGAATTTGAAAAGAAGCTGTGCAAGTTTAAAAACAGCTATGTCAGACCAAAGAGAAGGTCAACTCATTTAGAGAAAAAAAATGCCTTCTCTTCTCCCTTATCTTATTCACAGCATCACCGCCACTACCACCTGCAGACCACCACTTCCTGGCAGGAATTTCACGGCATCTGGATACGCGATTCAGAGACAGGCGGGAACAGACATGAACCTGTCTTCCTGTAAAAATCCTCTGAGCTGTTCTCACTGTTATATTTTAGGTTACAGTATGTGTGGCTTCAGGATTCTCAGTTCATGGAATCTGAGAAACAGTTATTCTTGACTCTGAAAAGTTGCAACCTGAAGAACACAGGTAGACAACCCAATAAGAGACAGGACTATGGACCTTTTTCCTAGAGGCCCAACAGGAAAATAGCCCACACGCCGGGCCTTGAGGATTCCTGAGTATGAAAAGACAGGCTAAATGAAGTGGCTTCTGAGCTTGCAACCAGATCCTCTGATACTGATACTTGAATATTTATCCAAGACCTGTGAAACCTGGTTTTGCCATTTGCATCTGCCTGCCCCAGCTCCTAAGGCAGATTTAGGAGTTCAATAAGACTAACTGACCATATTAGTGCATTCCCTGCTCTATCTGAGCCAACTCACACACAGGCAGACACAGCAACATAAATCACTGCAAATAAAGAGTCTCGGTGCAAGGGAGAGGTGTTCTGTGAAACCAGAACCAAGGCTCAGTGCCCAAAACGGCAGCCCTCCCATTTGGCAATACCTGGTGCACACTGAGAGAGAAGACTCATTTTTCTGGCTGAAAAAGTAAGCGTGATTCGCTTGATTTCCAAGTATTATAACATTCCCTAAAAAATTCAGCTGCAGGCTGGAGTCCAAAGCTCAGCAGAGTATGGTATAACATACTCTGATCCATTTAGCATCAACACAAGGGCAGCCAGTATTGTGCCTACTCCAGTTTGGTAGAGAGCTCCGATCTGATCACTAGGGAGCATCACGTGAGCTCTTCAGGAGTTCTTGGGGTTACGCGTGCACTGTATGGAAATAACTCACATGTGCTACTGACTGCGTGTGTGCAGCGTGTACACAAGCACGAGGCCACTGCTGTGAAGAACAAGCCCCTGCTGGATTACAGGCTCAACACAGTGCTGTGTCCCAGGTCCGACCAGCTGCCTACACTGTTTGCATTTCTTTCCATCTGCTCTGTTTCCCAAATCTCTGAGTTCCAAGCTGTTTGGACTTTTGGGGAAACAGTTATGAAAATTTCTTCCAAAACCTCTGCTTTCCTTCTTTCTCCTGCCCTCCTCTTTGAAGCTAGATTCCACTGTACTGCTATCAAAAACTTCTCTGATTAGAAGTGAAGGGAGCTGCTTTGCAGGCTAATTGTCTTAGGAGCTAAGCTGGAGCCGAATAAATCCAACACTTGTTCTGGAAGCAGCAAACTTATCTGCACCAGGTGGCAGCACATGCCATCTCCCAGGCCAGGTGCCATCCTCGTATGTCATTGCTTTGCTGCACCGCACCAGTTCCATAGCATGAATCATTTACTATGTTGGCCACAAGCCAGCATCAGGCAGAATCCCGAACCAGAACATTCTGGATCAGATGATCTCATCAACCCAGCAGGTGCAAGACTAGGAATTGGCACATATGAGCTGTTTGGGGGAAAATGTCACATTTTGGAGAGATAATTTGCATTTTTGTTTAAATTAAAATTTTTAAAATTTTTTTCACAAGTGCTTTTGAGTTTAACGTTTCAATTACCACCCCCCAAAAATCACTTGGAGCTAGGTAGAGGGGCTAACATGGAGTAGATTTTCAAAGTGAGACAAGCAGCCCCAGAAGGACAAAAATAAAACCCAACCCCCTAGGACTTCTACTCCACCAAAGACAGACTTCAATTCACTTGTATTTATCCTAAAGTTCATTGCCCCTGTGTCTCTTTTTTAAATTTAGCTGGCGAATGTAGCTAGGTTAGTGAATTTGCCCACCTCTGTAATATAAAAAGAGACAGTGAGAGTGTTTTGCAATGATGTCATTTAGTAGCTCTGCAATTTTTGAGACCATCTGCCACCTAGAACACCTGCAAGGGGAGATTTTGAGTTGCATCATTTCTCATAGTGAAGATCAGCTGGACAGTCAAAGCAGTTGGTGGGACTGAAAAGAAATTAGCAACCCTGCTAGTCTTCAGAAGTAGGGTGAATGGGAAAAGAGAAACAAAGGAATGGATCATCTCCATCACAGATAGTCACTCACTGAACACATGTGAAATAAACACGTGCTATGTACTGGGGATAAGGAGGAAGGGAAAGGGGAGAGAAAAAAGGGCTCCAGGAACCCCCAGTCTTTTGAGGGATACAGGAAAAAACAAATGTCACTAAATAAATGTTTTAAAAAATGCCCTAACTCCAGGAGGAACTCTGTAGACCCACCGCAGAGGATGGGGGGTGGGTGCTCCATCTAATTGAAGATCAATAATTTGCACAGTGGGAGTCCACAGGGGGCTGGGCTCTAAGGATAAATGGGTGTCAACCAAGGATGGAGAGGCTCAGAGGGAAGAAAGTCCCATCTAAAGGACTGGAATGAGCCCAGACCTGTGGGAAGAAGGGCAGAGCAGAGGAAAGTATGGGAAGAAGGACAGAGGAGCTGCTGGACAGTCTGAGACAGGGTGGACCTAAAAAGGAGGAGGCACCTCCCTGCTGAGGCGGCAGCCGCATAAGCCCTGTGTGCAACAGCATGGACTTTGGTCTGTAATGATGTATGTGTTTTACTAAGGGTCAGGCACGGCAGGGAGGAAGGGTCTGAGTGTCCAGATCTGCACTATGAGACAGTCCTCTGGCTGTGAGGACAGGGCTTGAGAGTCAAGGGTAGAAGCCAATTTGAGGACTGCTGTAGTGGGGCAGAGCTGGTGGTGGCTTAGCCTGGGGTGGCAGGATGGAATCAGAGGGAGGTGGATGAATGGGAGCGCCATGTTGGAGGTGGAGTTACCCGGACTCAGTGCAGCCTGGGCAGGCCAATGAGGGGAGAGAATGGCGGCGCAGAACTCTTGGTTTCCGGGCTCGTGTTGCTGGGTGGGAGAGCTCCTGTATGTAGCCCAGCAGGAACCAGGTGTGAGAAAGAAGTCCTGAGCTTCATTTTGTATGTATGGATTAGGAGATGCCTTTAAAATACCCAAGTGGTGATGCCAGATAGTTGTGTTGGGATTTTAGGTTAATAATTTTGGTTAATAATAGTCGACATTTACTGAGAGTTCAATATGTGCATTTATAGCAATGTTCATTCTAGGATTGTTAGAATGGATTATAAG